CTTGACCAGACTAGCCAGAGCACCTTCACGCCAGTCTGTTGTTTAATTTAATTCATTGGACTTAGAAAAATTTCTTACAAACAATATTTTGAACTTATTCGAATCAAACCGAATTTATTCTATCATTCAGAATACTTAACTTACATTCAGCTTTCATGTTATAAATAARTAYATGTTTTAWCACAATAAATAAACAATTAATCTAATTAAGAAGAATTCTACGTTGTGTAATTAACTCAAGAGTCACCTTCCAACCATCATCCTTGACTACTGATACCTGTAGGCGACGTGATCACTACAGTGTTCAACGACTAATAAAAACTAAATTTATTCTTTTGTGTTCGAACGTGGAACGACTTTGCCATATATATGTATAGCTAGCTGAATTACCCGGAACAAATTCATGACAAATTACATAACGCCATGTATGATCGTCTTAAATTCATAATTATCGATAAGACATAAGGTTAGGATACTAAACTTAAATAAAACAACGTTTTTTGAAAAGTAATTTTTTTTATTTTTGAATAGTGCTACATAACTACAGATTAACCAATATTTCTTTATAATCTATAATATTAGTTTTTTCACCAGGGTCATATATGTATAATTTTTTATCTGAGCTTACACGGGAGCAGGCAACGTATCATTATCCATCATGAGTGAAGCAGGGATCGTTGAAGTCAATTCCTGCAACTTTCACTGTCTGATCTTGTGCCTTATTAATTGACATAGCAAAACAAAGTTTAATAGGAAATCGGACACGTTTGAATTCGAAGGGATGCTCGTTTGTTATCATTGGAAGTCTTGGGATATATACAATATGACCACTCGCTGAGCCGGTAAGAATTTCATCTTCAACAAGGGTTTTTTTCAAAGATAATATTTTTAATCTCGTTCCATTGCACAATTTGGGAGGTTAAAAAATTTCTAGGACGCTTAAGCCATCTTAATGTTTTTGAGCGATTTTCACCTATTATAATATTATAGGCTAAAAATTTTCGCTCAGAATCGTCTTTATAAGCATACAATGGTTATAAAATTCAAGTTTAACTCGTTCCTCATAGTGACTTTTGATACCTTATGCATGGTAGACCAATACCCATTTATTACACGATTATAATTGTTTTTAGTAAAATGTGTTCGAATTTATAATATACCATAGGCGTACGCAGCGCTTAGTGCTAAGTGTAGCTGAAAATTATTCATTAATATGATTTTAACCTCAAGAAAAGAACGTCCAAACTTTAGAATAATACCATTTTAAAAAAATCGAAAAAGTCGATTGAATTAAGAGTTGTGTATTCTCAATTTTACTAAGATCAGCAGTGTAAATAATATGTAGATATGCGAATCTTATTCGCCGCAAATGTTCTACATGTATTATAATATGTGGCCAAGGAGAATATGGCATACAAAATATCAGTTTTCGACAAACCCGAATTGGTTTGACTGAATTAAAAAAAATATAAAATTATATGTCATGTAGGTATTTGAAATTTTCGCTGAATCCTAGCATCCCTATAGATCTCGAATATTTATGAAAATGGTTTGGCATAAATTTGTATGTATGTGATAGATATGGATTATAGTCTATAATTGTCTAACTCTTATACACTTGTTTAGCACGCCGCATTCACGTGA